AAATACAGAGAAAATGATGTGGATGGAAGAGAAGCCACTGGAGAAGGAGGGAGAGAGAAATCTGCCCCTTCGCTTCACAAGATGTGTAGTGAGGCGTCACCTCGGACAATGGAAAGTATCCACCAGTGTTCCCAGCTCTGTCAGTTGGTTTGGATTGAGAGGACCCCAACAAAACAGCTGACAGCATGCTCACAGTTGGTCCACACAAGGATGGGAGGCAGACAAGCAACTCTGGGGAGCAAGGACAATTTTATATCATCTCTGCTCTTCTTGAAGAGGAAGATTTCAATAGTCAAGACATGGGTTTAGCATCCGGAAGAGTCCCATCTACTTGATTTTTTTGTTTGTTTTCATATTCTTTTTCACTAAAGGTTATTTCAAGATATTGAATATAGTTTCCTGCACTTTACAAGGGAAATCTGCTTTTTAAATCTAGCTTTATATATAGTGGTTAACATTTGCATATCTCAAAGTCTGAAATTCATCCCTTCCCATAAGATTGTTTACACTGTCTGTGAGTCCTTCTGTTTTGTAGATGAGTTCTTTAGTGTCCTCTTTTTCCTTTCTTTCTTTTTTTTTTCCTTTTTTTTTTTTAGATTCCACATATGAGTGATATCACATGGTATTTTTCTTTCTCTTTCTGGCTTACTTCACTTAGAATGACATCCTCCAGGTCCATCCATGTTGCTGCAAATGGTGTTATTTTATTCTTTTTTATGGCTGAGAAGTATTCCATTGTATAAATATACCACTACTTCTTTATCCAGTCATCTGTTGACGGACATTTAAGTTGTTTCCATGTCTTGGCTATTGTACATGGTGCTACTATGAATTGGGGTGTGTGTATCTTTTTGAAATAGGGTTTCCTCTGGATATATGCCCAGGAGTGGGTTTGTTGGATCATATGGTAAGTCTATTTTTAGTGTTTTGAGGAACCTCCATAGTGTTTTGCATAATGGCTGCACAAAACTACGTTCCCATGAACAGTGTAGGAGGGTTCCCTTTTCTGCACAACCTCTGCAGCATTACAATGTCCACAAACCATCTACTTGAAATGTGCTGCTGCCTCAGTGTTTTGGATCCTGTCATTGCTTTGGAGGAAATTTTTGAATTTTTTTCTGTTACCACAAAGCTTTGGATGACTTTTGTAAAAATCCATGGTAGTAACTATCATTGCTACTCTTTTTTAAAACATTCTTTTCTCTTTTTTGAGGGGGAGGTAATTAGGTGTATTTATTTATTCTTAATGGAGGTACCAGGGATTGAACCCAGGACCTCATGCATCTAAGAACACACTCGACCACTGAGCTATGCCCTCCCTTGTCATCGCTACTTTTGAGAGTGCTGTTGACACTGATTATATTTCACCATGCCCCCGATTTTAGCAGAATGGGTATGGACAGCTCTGTTCTCTAAGATTCTCTCTTTCTCCCTCTTTCTGTCCCACTGCCTCTCCCTCTCTCCTCTCCTTTTCTCTCAACTCTTTCTTTCTTGAGTTTGCTGGACTGATACTGTTTCCATCCGTTTCTGAAGTCAGAGTCTCTGAGGGATCAACTATTTCTTTGTGCCATTAACACTTATAAATTATTTTACTGTGAAATATAGCAAATGTTCACAAAACTATGGAAAATCTACTAACACTCAATTTATATTTTTTTGGTACATAAAAATTTGAAACTGTTTTTTTACATATGAAATTTGTTAATGAATTTTTTAAAATGCTGTGTATTAGTCAGGGTTCTCCAGAGAAACAGAAACAATTGCCTCAATAGGTTGTGTGTGTGTGTGTGTGTGTGTGTGTGTGGTGGATGGGCGAGGGGTTGGTGTAAAGACAGAGACAGAGAGACAGAGATTTTAGGAATTGGCTCATGTGATCGTGGGGACTGGCAAGTCCAAATTCTGCAGAGCAGGCAGGCAGGCTGGAAACTCAGAGTCGAGCTCATCTTGTAGTTCACGTCCAAAGGCAGTCTGGAGGTAAAATACCTTCTATCTCCAGGACC